ATATTTGTAAGGGTATTTATTATGATTCCAATTCTTATTAATGAAATTTTGAATTACAATATCCGCTAATAATGGTGAGAGAGATAAGCCCATGGGGAGGCCATCTTTTTGTTTATACCATAAACCATCGAACTGAAACGTAACGTTATTAATACAGAATGAAACAAGTTCTAAAATGTTTTCCTTTTCCAGTGTTGTAAACGCTTTCCATGCATTATCATTAGTTAACTCGTCATTCAACAATTCCATCGCTAATTTTCTATCAATCGAAGTGAACAACTCAGTTACATCAAGGCTCGATAATGTTGTTTTTGATGTAGTTTTAATTCTAGATAGTTGTTTAATCAAGTCTTTCGTATTTGTGACAGATCGAACTTTATCACCAATTGATGTCAATAATTTGGTTAAATGTTTAGATAATGTGGAAAATAAAGTGTTTCTCATTGACACGATTAATCTCATAGGGTTTCCAGATTTATGAATCTTAGGTTGACCTCTGACATACGGCATGTTAGCATTTTCAATAAACTTTTGTGCCAACTTATCATCAAGTTGTTTTACTTCAACTAAATGATTAATCAAAGCCTTTAACTCATCATAGGTAGCTGTAGAGGGATCATCGTTCAGTGTAATATATGGATCTGTATTTAATTTGTCTTTAATTGACTTTTTATACCTCTCCACCTCTAAAATAACCACCTTACCACCTTTATCAGCTGCCACTACCATAATATCATGATTAATTTTAATACTGTTTATAGTTTCTAAATTAGCTTTCTGACGTTGAAACTGTCGATTATTGATTCTTAAACATTTGTCTAAATTTCTATCGATGGTATTTTTAACATCCGATATAATCGATTCCTTGCTAACATTATTTTTAACATTCCATAATCCAGATTCTACCCCTGCTATCACTCTCGAGACAAACTTTGTTTTATTGATTTTATTAACCGGAATGAATCCTAAACCTTTATATAGTGCCTTCTTCTGTTCGATATCAACATTTTGTTGTGATGTTAAGTCAATCACGCGAGAATCAACGTTATTAACTGGTTGTAAAGGTATTTCATCGTTTATATTGCTAGCTTTTTGTTTTTCTTTTAATAATATTTCTAACTTTTTGTTCAAACTAAACCTCATTTTCTTTTCTAATGATATTATATCCTGATCAATTTTCGAACACCATGTAGGTAAATGTTTAATGTTAATCCTATTAGTTTGTATATGCTCTCCAATCAATGATAATTCGTTTTTCAAATGTGAAGCATAACCATAATTCTTCCTTATAGTACCATTCATCAGCTTCAAACTTGCCCATTTACTAATTTCATCCACATTCCGAATATGGAAGCGACTCATATTCATTCTGAATCCTTTCGGTATGACATCATGTTCTTTACATATCTTCAGAAAATGATTTTGCTCGTTAAGGTACTATAACCCCGGGCGGTGGTTGTAGTACCTTATCTGAACAATATGACTGAAAAACTCAAATATACTTTGAATAAATATAATGTGAAATTATACGTACAACATCAACGGAACTTTGGTAGTATTCTGAATAA